CTCTGTTGGATTATAACCGACTGTTGAAATAGCTTCTTGATGCTGCACTTAGGACACATTCTGTACTCTATAGAAAAGTTAAACGTTGGCGCCCTTACATGAGCATTTATATTGTCCACACTATATTTCCCTTAATAATGCCAAGGAGAATTTGTTTTGGCCATCAGGAGCTTGTTACATTAGTGATCATATCTCTTATTCTCGTGACCTCTACATTTGATTCAATGGTAATACTGTAAGGAGATTTTAAAAGCCGGTCACTCTTAGGGGTTTCAGAGGTAAGGTAAAACAAGAAGGCGCGGTGGCCTCATGGTTCGTGCGCTTGACTCTGGATCTAGTGGTCCGGGTTCGAGACCTGGCCGGGGTCATTGTGTTATGTTCTTAGGCAAGACACTTTACTCTCACAGTGCTTCTCTTCACCCAGGTGTACAAATGGGAACCAGCAAATATGCTGGGGGTAACCCTGCGATGGACTAGCGTTCCATCCAGGGAGGAGTAGCAATACTCCTAGCCGCTTCATGCTGAGGGAAACCGGAATTAAGCGCCGGCACCGTGGGCCACTTGGGCCTGTATAAAGGCTTTACTTTTTACATAAAAGTTAATTGTTTTAAATTTTTTACCAGTTGAGAGTCATTTCATTTTTAAAATTACTCTTGTGAAAACTAATTTATCAAATTAACTCGATATATTATCGAATCGCGAAGAACACAATTCTATTTGATATCGTTGGTGATGCATTTGAAAGGGTAGTATATAACCACGAGTGCCGGCAAAGGTGTCAGTTACCAAGCAATCGGTACATTGAGTCAGTGAGACAACATATCTTGAATTTGATACAGATGATTTATTAGTTGTTAGCAACAAATCTTGATACAGCTTTTCACAACGTTGTGTTAACGTATGTAGACATACCATGTATCAGAATTTTCAAAATATCTATATTCATTGTAATTACTGATCGACTGTGGGTCAATTGCGTTTCTTTTTTCCACTAACTTTGTCTCTATTCTTATTTTAAAAATTGTTTAATGCTGTCCTCGACTTTTGTAATGGCTTCCATCTAAACTATTTCATTCAAAACTATAAAATCTAAGGATGGCTTTTCAACACCATCATAAAAACCACCAAAGAACCTTTCTAAAACTGGCCAGGGGGATGATATACAAACACAAAATTCTTGCAATCTGTGTAAATATTCGGCATTACTAAAAGGAAAGCTAGCTCTTTTAGAAGATCAAGATTTTAGAAAACTTAATAAAGTGTAAAGTAGAAATCAAATTCTTTGAATGTCTCCGTATATTCTGAATCAATGTCCAAATTTAAGTATTCGCCTTCACTCCTTGTTTTTCCTACGCGGCATTCAGAAATTTCTATCGTTTCGCCTGTTTCGTGAATGTAAAACTTCAGCCCTCTCCCCTCCCCTCCTCTGTTTAAAGAGGAAAATTAAAAGTAAAAATTTAAAGAACAACTTTCCTTTCATTCGAGTGACTGGGACCCTAAGAAACCTGGGGAACTGAGCTGCAAGGTAATGTCGCGGTCATCGACTAATCAAACGAAAGTCTTAAATTAACATTGGCAAATTGATTTTAACGAAGTGGCAG